GTCAATGTCAAGGTCAATGTCAAGGTCAATGTCACTTGCAGGGTTTGAATAAATTATTTTTGCACGTGATGCGCGCGCTTTTCTTCTGCGTAGTTATGAGAAGCTACCTCGTATTTTTTCATGTATATTATTAATAGATAATCACATGATTTTCTCGTGCAATTTGGAATAAATAAGCACTTGTAAATTTTTTCAAAGACCACAAATTGCACTCGCCCTACGGGCTCATGCAATTTTGTTAGTCTTTGAAAAAATTTACTCGTGCTTATTTATTCCAAATTGCACTCGAAATCATGTGATTACCTATACGAATAGTATGGGCGTATACGGAATTCTCTCCACACCATCTGGTGCACATGCACACAAACATTGCGTTATACCTGCTTGAGAAAAGCTGAAGCAAATATTTTATGGAAAGCATAAGTTACATTGTTGTGTTCTTGTGAAAGCAGTTTGAGCGAACTACAGTTTACCTTCAATTCTACGGTGTTGAGTGGCATGCAATATGTAAACGATTATGACTGATTCGTGAAAGTACTTAAAACAAGCCAGTCGGTATTTGCTATGGATTCAACCTCGCATGAACACCATAAAACAGAGTACAACAGTAAATAAACGGACGAAGAAAATAGTACGCCAAGCATGCGCAACATCATCGATGGCATCCTCAACTATGCTCGCAGAGACTCGTGGGAAGAACAGTAAGGCTGAACCGCCACGCTGGTGTAGTAAGATAGATCGTGGCGCAAAGAGAGGAATTTACTTAATGTAATAACTCTAAACCAAGTAGCAGTTGTTTCCGATCGCTTTTTCTTGGTGAAACAGGAGTTAACAAAAGAAAAACATTTAATGGGGGTTCAAACCTTGACTCCGGAAACACAGAATTATTTTCTTCACTATGGCCTAAATAAGCTATGAAGTTTTTTTTTTTAAGAAAAGTAAATCTTAAATACTTGTAACATGCGATCCTGTCGTTTAAAGAATTCTAGTTTCAGATGCGCAGTAGAAAAAAATCAACCGAACGGGACCTTACCCTGGATCAGCTTGTACTTTAATAGGAGGTAACCTTGTTCGCCTGCAGCCTTAAATTCTCCTTTCTTACCTTCCATCCTCGTTCAATCTTTCTCGAGCCTTTTCATGATCTTACTATTTTACTTTTGACTTTAAATATCCATCTAAACGAATTTCAAAAACTCCAGATAACATATCACGTAATTTATCAATCTCGATAGATTGAGTAATTATTCCTTCTTTTCAATTTCGTTGACTTTTTCAATCAACACCTTACTAACTGTATAACCAAAAGTGATTAAATATAAACATTCTGCTGTATCAGAGTCAAGGAAATTTATTGCAATCACTTGTTTAAGTTTTGAGAACCGGAAAAAATAGGCGACCCTTGACTAAAGTTTCCGCATCTCTTGGCCAAGCTTTGGAAAATTGATGAATAAAATTGATGAATAAAACTGTCAATTTTTTGTAGCGAAGTATGTTGCGGAGAATTTTAGTTTCAAGTAGCGACTTCAGACCTTCCCAGTCTCTTGATCCTTTCCAAAGTGTTAAAAGCAATCAAAACGAAACTGTACGAGTTTTTTTTTGTTTAATCAGATTTATTGACAAGTTGCAGCTGTCGAATTCTTTTGCAAAATAAAAGAAACGCACGATTTCCATCGTTAATGGTCTTATAGCCGATCACCTCAGTACCTGTAAGGGCGTCGACATTCATGTTCTGTCCGGGCATATTTGTATCTTTCTTGCTTCTTCACAGCGCATTTTGCGCATTTGAAGAAGAGGAGAGCGATGAGAAATTTGCTATGGTAAGATTTGATACGTTTTTTTGAGAGAGCGAAAAAAAAAAAGAAAAAAAACCAAAAACAAAAAAGCGAAAAAAAAGTGGGGACACATCGTGGCCCTATGCCTGAACGGACACAAAATTCGCCTCGAAGAATCCTCAACCACATTTTTAAATTTTTCTCGCAACTTATGTCATGGATAAGGCCATTATGCGGTTGATTACACAAAAGACACAGATGTGCTGTCAATTTTTAATCGGTACTTCACTCTTCATTAATAACAAATTTCAGAACGTCAAGGATTTCCTAGCAGTTTTTAGAATCTCCTCACAGACATTCATTGTTATATAATCGTATTTGTGTTATTTTCTTTTCCTAGAACTACCTTTCGAGCTACAACTATCTATCAAAAACCAGATCAAGATACATCGACCAAACTGACGCCGTGAAAAAATTCCAAAAGTTTTTTTGGTTTACCAGCCACTGGCAAGTTAGATGAGGAGACCTTGGACGAGTTAAGAAACCGCGATGTGGGAACACAGATTTGAACGCAAACGGCCAACCTCACCGACAGAAAAGGTACTCTACCTTGTGGGACAGATGGCAAAATCATAACCTTAAATACTACCTGACGAATGGAGAGGATATGTCAGCTTCTGACCAGGCACGAGTAATAGCTAAGGCATTAAAAATGTGGAGTGACGTCACGCCTCTAAGGTTTACCAGGATATGTAGGACTAGCGACGCGGACTTCTGACTCAGGTTCTATTCAGTCTCCTTGCTAAGTTTCTTTTTCGTCAACTACAATCCGTTTTAACCTTCCATATCCTTCAGCATCTCTATTCCTTCTGGTTTTATTATTAGCTATCATCTGTTTTCTATCCTACCAAACTAATCTTGTTCTGTCTCCTTTTTTGTCGAGGTAGTTTTTAGTTTTTCAATTTCAAAATAGGGCACAAAATGGTGACATGGATCCTTTGAAACCTTTATCTGTATACCACAAGGTGCCCTTGGCAACATCTATTCACAACTTAATGTTGTCGTATAGACATATATACCAATACATAAATTTATCGTTGGAATGTTTTTAGCTACATTATCGATGGGCATTTAACCCATAAGAGAATCCAGCTTTAAAGTTTGAATCTCAAAATAAATTAATTTAAGGGAGTAGTCATTATTTAGCACTGGGAGGGGAGAGGGGATTCACTTTGCTGTGCACGAGATTGGCCATGCGCTGGGACTGTACCACTCCGATGTTAAAGGTGCAGTGGTGAGGCCAACACCCAGCCGAGGAACTCCTAAACTGCATAAAGATGACATCGATGGGGTTAGGTCCCTTTACGGTAAATGATCTTTTGATGATCCATATAAATCGTATTTCAATGGATCTTTGAGGCACTGCGCTTTTTTCGGTTAAGTACAAATTTGGGAATTAAAGTACGCAACGTTTAGTAGGTGGAAATGGCGCGAATTACAATTAAATGCTTGAAATAGTAACAGCACTTTCAAAATGTTTAGAATATGTCTCTAATACACCTTAAACACTCGTGCTTTAATATCAGTAGTCCTTAAAATAATCGAGTACAATTTATCGGTCATTCTTCAACAGTATTCTATAAGTATCTTCCTTCGCCTGTAGAATAGTGTCGTATTTCCTTAAGTTTTGTTTCTTCCTTTCTTTTCAGGTCGTTAGTTTCAACTCGGCGATGCAAACATAAGTTAAAGGGAATCTTCAAATTTTGTTCCAACTGGCAATAAAAGTGTTTGCTGTCAAAAAGGATGTCCGAGTTTTTTCTGAAATAAATTAGTAATGCTATAGCCTTAACTACTAACTCTCTCCCCTCTGACCCCTCCCTCTCCGATTTTCCGTTTAGTCAGAAGTACAGATATACATAGGCATCATAGACACTTTACGACTGAATGCTGTAAAGCCAAAGCCAAAGTAATCACAACAGCCAATGAAGAACAGAGAAATATCCCAAAGAGCCAATGAGAATAGAAAACAAAAAAACCAACCTCGTGACGGGGACGGGCCAATGAGAATAGAAACAAAATACCAACCTCGTAACGGGGATGGGCCAATGAGAATAAAAAACGAAAAAAACCAACCAAGTGACGGGATGGGCCAACGAGAATAAAAAACAAAAAACCAACCTCGTGACAGGGACGGGCCAATGAGAAAAAACAATAATAATAATAAAAAAAAACCCTCAAGACGGGGAGGCCTTTTCAGGTTTGATTAGGTGGCGCGAGTTCTTATTCAAAAGTGAATAAATCTAAATTCAACAGCAAAAACTTGCATCTGATTGTTTCTACTTGCAAGCTTCTGATTTTTTTTGCTCATTTCGTAACCTACTTAAACCCTCAGGTTTTACCAACCTTGAAGTTCACGAGTTCATCATATCTTTTTGAGAGAAGCAGATAAATCTGGTCAAATTAAGTTGCAATTTATATTAATTTTCCTTCAGTTAAATACCCTTTCGGCAATCGTATTCAATCAGCTGGACAGCTGAACTTGCGAGTAACTTAAAAAGAGAAGAATCATAATTCAGAAAAATCATAAGAGGAGAATCATAAGATTCTGAATTGAAGCTAAAGTACATAATTAAGGAACATTGTAATGTCTTGTAGCACGGAAGTGAGCCTGTGAGTTTTTCAAATGAGTTCACAAGATGGTAACTAATTGCTTTAGTTTTCATAAGAACTGGTTTAAATCTTTCACGCTTTAAAGGGCTGGAGATACAGGATATTCATAACATCTCGCTAACTCAGAGGAATTAAGCCAAAGAAAATTAAAAAGCCAATTTATTTCAACCCCGGCCAACTGATCATTTATTCATTTATTGAAAAGAAACTTTATTTCTTAAACAGTAGAAAGCCGCAGAGTTGATAAGTGCAATTTTATTACGGAACTTTCTGAATTAATTAATGAACAAAATTCCAAAATTAAACTTTCGTTTAAAAGCCTCTCGAATGTTATTGCTATGGAATATGGATTACGATTCTTTGTAAAGTTTCATGTACCAATTATCCACCGCTTAGTCTTAGCAAAACGAGACATTCTAGAACTCTATAAGAGCCACTCTGCACAACAGTTTTTGATGGGATGGGCGACACGTTTAGCCACGCTTTTTCACTGCGGAATGGACGGATTCATTTTGATGACGACGAAACTTCACTGAGGAAGGAAGTTTCTGGAGTAAATCCCGAAGCTTGGTTTGCGTCGCTGTTCACGAAAGCGGCCACTCCTTGGACTTATGTCAGTCATGATTCCTGAGATGATGCGAGGTGCCACGAAGTTGTCCAGGGACGACATCGCCGAAATACAATATTTTTAAGTTTGAAATTTCTTAAATGAAGTCTAAAGAGTGTTTTATTTTCGTTTTCCTCTTTTGTGTTTTTTTTTATCTTATTCCCAAATGTTTTTTGTTGGTTTGTACTGTTTTCTGTTTGTTAAGTATAAAGATTAGCTAAGATAGGTGGGTAAAAAGGTGAAGTCTGTACTGGAGCAAGTAGCCCATCCAGCTGGTGCGTATTCTGGTTTACACGACATGAGGCAACTAGGAGCATTACTGCTCCCCCCTTGGATGGGATGCCAGTCAATTGCAAGGTCCCAGCATTTCATCAGCCCTTCTCAGTGGCGGATCCAGGGGAAGGGTCCGGGGGATCCAGACCCCCCCCCCCATCAAACCTGACGCTTACACTTTTGAGACAGGATCGTATATCACTTTTAACTGGCTGATTTTTTAATGAATCCAAATAAACGGTGAGCGGCCAAGGAATTATAACGTGCAACCGCCACTGGTGGGAGGGGGTGTGGGGAGAAGTAATTTGCATCAAAGAGTCCAACAGTCCTTTCTGAACCAAAGTTTGGACCCCCCAATCAAAAATTCCTGGATCCGCATCTGCTTCTTTGACGACTCTGAAGACTTGATTGCTTGATTCAAGCAAATTTCCAGGACTATCCAGACCCTGTAGTCTTTTATAAGACTTTCCAGTCCTAAAAAATGTCAAAATAAAATTCCAGGACTTTCCAGGTTATCCTGGACCTTTATGAACCCTGTAGAAAAGATAAGATTACTCTTAATTTACTCAGCCAAATCATATTCATTATCTGTGAATCAATTACAAAAATTGGAACATGTAGTTCAAACAATAGACAATAAGAATATTCTCTCAGAGCACATGTTCAGAGGTATAAAGTCCTTTTTGACAATTAAGATGCCTGCTTCTTTTCAGATGCTGCTTATCTTGAAATCTGCTACTTAATAATCATACATAAATGATGTATCGCCATTTTTGTTTTTTTTCATTGTTATCAATAATAGGTGATATCATTTCTACTGCCATCACAATTGTTAGTTGTATATCAAAGAACTTTTTAACTTGTATTTGATGAATGAATGAGCCATTAAAAGCTGTTCAAATATTCATTACTGTTAAGAATCTACCTTCTGTTTTCAGATTGATGATGGACATGAGATGACAAGTCACCTTGCCAACATAATCTAAAGTCAATGATGATGTAAAATGATTATTACAATTACAATGCATTCTTCCTAAATTTTCAATCGCAATTCATACAACCTTCCCTTTATAAAAAGTCACCTTCAAAATGATGGACGGGTCCAAAAAGTCACGCTGTACTGCAACCTACTGACATAAATGCAATCAAAATCTTTGCGGAAAATTAAAAATTTAATGAGCTATTACGATTCGTAAATCATGAGATTGACTAAAACGTTCTGGAGAATTCTGCTGAAAACAATAAATTTGGGGCACCCATTAACCCTTTGCATGACCTAACATCAGTATGCCAGCATATTCTCCATACTGGTCTCTCAACATTTCCTAAGGTGCTGACAAGGAAAGCGTTTCTTTAGTTGGTGATCATTTCCTTCATTCTCATAACCTTAATGGGTGATATTGTAAGGAGAAATTAGATGCTACTCATTCTTACAGGGTCAAAACATTGAACCACCGCTGGGCTTTTGGAGGCTGAGTCTATTCATGTAAAAGGGTGAAAGTTTACTAAAGAAACTGTGGTGCTGTGTTGGTTGGGGTAGCAAGGTAATTTGGTTATATCAAATAAGTTTAAATTGTAAATTGGCCACCATAATGAGTTAAAAAGCTGACGTTTTGAGCGTTAGCCCTTTGTCATTCATTCTGACAAAGGGCTAACCCTCAAAATGTCAGCTTTGTAACTCATCACAGTGGCTAATTTTTAACCAAATTACTCTATTCATATAAACTTGGTCTATATTCTTTGGTTTTATGATATATTGGTGGATATGAACTCTGCAAAGAAGGATGATTTTAATAAAAATATAGCTATGAATGTTTGTTAAGGGTGGTTTATAAAAGATAAAAATAATAATAGTTTAATATTTGTAGTGCACAAAACCATTTACATATGATCAAATGTGCATGAGAAATCACCAACCACCTCTTGGATAGAAATTGTAAATTTCAAATAAAAAATAACCTTTCTTTTGATTAATGTCTCCAAAAATATCTCCAGCTGTAAGGAAAGCAATACCTCGTTTGAAAGGGCACAATATTTCAAGTTCCTCTGAGAAGACATGATTCACCTCCTCAAAGCTAATACTTGGACCAAAAGTTTTAATTTAAGAGCAGGTTATCAAAAAACCCCAAATATTGAGTGACTCCACTCTAAATTGTTTCAAACGAGATCAACCGTTAAGTAGAAAAACGTGCAGATATCACAATTTCCATGGCAACGGAAGTAAATGAGCATCTCCCTTGCAACAGCATAATGGTTTATAGTTAGGCTTCGAACGAACTTCAATCGAAAGTTACTGAGCTCTATAATCCTACTGCGGAATCGAAAAGGCTAGTTTTCGTACAGTATGCATGCAGTATGCTTTGGACAATTAACAACTATTCACCAAAGTGCACCTTCCCTTTATAAAAAGTCATCTTCAAAATGATGGACGGGTCCAAAAAGTCACGCTGTACTGCAACCTACTGACATAAATGCAATCAAAATCTTTGAAGAAAATTAAAAATCTAATGAGCTATTACGATTCGTGAATCATGATATTGACTAAAACGTTCTGGAGAATTCTGCTGAAAACAATAAATTTGGGGCACCCATTAACCCTTTGCATGACCCAACATCAGTATGCCAGCATATTCTCCATACTGGTCTCTCAACATTTCCTAAGGTGCTGACAAGGAAAGCGTTTCTTTAGTTGGTGATCATTTCCTTCATTCTCATAACCTTAATGTGTGATATTGTAAGGAGAAATTAGATGCTGCTCATTCTTACAGGATCAAATCATTGAACAACCGCTGGGCTTTTAGAGGCTGAGTCTATTCATGTAAAAGGTTGAAAGTTTACTAAAGAAACTGTGGTGCGGTGTTGGTTGGGGTAACAAGGAAATTTGGTTATATCAATTAAGTTTAAATTGTAAATTGGCCACCATAACGGGTTAAAAAGCTGACGTTTTGAGTGTTAGCCCTTTGTCATTCATTCTGACAAAGGGCTAACACTCAAAATGTCAGCTTTGTAACTCATCACAGTGGCTAATTTTTAACCAAATTACTCTATTCATATAAACTTGGTCTATATTCTTTGGTTTTATGATATATTGGTGGATATGAACTCTGCAAAGAAGGATGATTTTAATAAAAATATAGCTATGAATGTTTGTTAAGGGTGGTTTATAAAAGATAAAAATAATAATAGTTTAATATTTGTAGTGCACAAAACCATTTACATATGATCAAATGTGCATGAGAAATCACCAACCACCTCTTGGATAGAAATTGTAAATTTCAAATAAAAAATAACCTTTCTTTTGATTAATGTCTCCAAAAATATCTCCAGCTGTAAGGAAAGCAATACCTCGTTTGAAAGGGCACAATATTTCAAGTTCCTCTGAGAAGACATGATTCACCTCCTCAAAGCTAATACTTGGACCAAAAGTTTTAATTTAAGAGCAGGTTATCAAAAAACCCCAAATATTGAGTGACTCCACTCTAAATTGTTTCAAACGAGATCAACCGTTAAGTAGAAAAACGTGCAGATATCACAATTTCCATGGCAACGGAAGTAAATGAGCATCTCCCTTGCAACAGCATAATGGTTTATAGTTAGGCTTCGAACGAACTTCAATCGAAAGTTACTGAGCTCTATAATCCTACTGCGGAATCGAAAAAGGCTAGTTTTCGTACAGTATGCATGCAGTATGCTTTGGAGAACAGAAATTAATGGCGGGATAAATGTTGAGTGCCTTTGGGACTATGGCATTGTTTTAGAATAGTGTGGGGCTAAACGGAAATATTTCCAAGAAGCATATAATCTATAAACATAACGAGATGCTAGACCAATTCATAGCAGTACAAAGAGTATTCAATCGCATTTATGTTCATCTGCGACATTGCGAATACGTGCTGACTGCAAAGTCATTAATAAAGCTCTAGCTATTGCTTACCTCAAATATCGCTTCTAATTCCGCTCTATCTTTCCAGTTTACTTTCTTAATCGCTTGAATAACGGGAATATATCTAATGACATAATATGTTACTATCACGTTCTGTTTATTGTGAGATTTTAAGCCCCTATCCCGGTCAGTATGATAATTTCGTAAATTAAATAGTAATTAATATTTTTTAATATATATATTAAAAAAAATTAAATATGTATATTCTTATTATACAATTTTAAGCCGTTAGTTCACGGCTTAAAATCTACCATTATATAAACTATCTGTTGAACGAAATTAAGCCGTTAGTTAACGGCCTAAAATGGTACAATAAATGTAACAGACTGAACGAAATTAAGCCGTTAGTTAACGGCCTAACATCTCCCGATAAATATAACAGATTAAAGGAAATTAAGCCGTTAGTAAAATCGTACAATTAAGAGACTGAAGGAAATTAAGCCGTTAACGGCCTAAAATCGTACAATAGACAGACTGAATGAAATTAAGCCGTTAGTTAACGGCCTAAAATCGTACAATAAATGTACAGACTGAACGAAATTAAGCTGTTAGTTAATGGCTTAAAATCTCCCAATAAATATGAGTGAATGAAATTAAGCTGTTAGTTAACGGCTTAAAATGTCCCAATAAGTATAAGAGTGAACGAAATTAAGCCGTTCATACATGCATGATAGATGCGTTGTTTTTATTCGCGGCATAAAAAGTCGTACAGCTTGTGAAAACTTTCTTGACCTACCAAATTACAATAAACAATCGTAACGTTCGTTTCCTACGGTGGCCCACAGGTGCCACTGCTACACGCTGTAAAACAAACACGTTTCTAATTAAAACCTTGCTTTCTCTTTGCAATTGTTCTTGTTATCTATACAAATGTAAGCCTGTTGCTTAGAAATCCGCTTCCTCCGCAGAAATGAGCCTCCTCTGTAGAAATGAGCCTCCTCCGTAGAACTGAGCCTCCTCTGTAGAAATGAGCCTCCTCCGTAGAAATGAGCCTCCTCTGTAGAAATGAGCCTCCTCTGTAGAAATGAGCCTCCTCCGTAGAACTGAGCCTCCTCTGTAGAAATGAGCCTCCTCCGTAGAAATGAGCCTCCTCTGTAGAAATGAGCCTCCTCCGTAGAACTGAGCCTCCTCTGTAGAAATGAGCCTCCTCCGTAGAANCATCGAGTGTGAAGAATTGCGCGAAACCATCACATTGTGTGGTCGCTGTGTTAAAGAGCCTTCACTTCGCCTTGCCGTAAAGCAGAGCCAATTCGGTAAGTTTCTCCTATTTTTCCCCAGCTGATATCGCTTTTATTTGTTTTCCTTCATGAAAGCTTTTATTAAAATAGCAACAAGACTTGATTCTACCACGGTTTGCCGGCCTCCTGGTTTCCCACAGTTTGCACGCGTTGGTGCCTGAATGTTTAAAGTGTTAAGTAGTGTTATGACGTGCGAGAAATGTAGAATGCCGAGCTCTCTTTTCTTCTCTGACTCGCGCTCACTTTTCAATGAGAGTTTAACTGCAAAAGGTTTTTGAACATTTCAAAAGTACGTGACAAGTTGGATTTTGTATGGACCATCATGGACGCCATGCTAAGAAAACTGATAGCCTTGATTTGTTTTGACATTTTTCAATCGGAGTAATAACGGAATGCTTTAATTGGTTTTCCTTACGATTAGAGTATTAAGCTAAGGGAAGACTGCTTACGTTTATTATTTTTTCCTGGGTGCAGTGATAGTAAAAGTAAACTCTATTTTTATTTTCTCGATCAAAAGTAGGTTATAAGCCTCCACCGGAAACAGTTAAAGATTTTTTTCGCATTCCAAAAGTAGTGTTTACCAAGGCAATACATTTTCTGAGTTGGTTTTGCGTGCATACATACCTATCTTCCCTGCGCTCTTTTCCATTCCGTGGTCATCATTTATTAAGGAAGGCTAGTGCGGATTTATAATGCACTTAGTTGTACGTAGTTGTCCAGCTATAGGTCGAGTTTTACCTTTCGATCTGTTACGCAACTTGTTGTATAAAAACTATTGCATAATTTAGACAACTGAGGGTGCAGTGATAGTAAAAGTAAATTCTATTTTTATTTTCTCGATCAGGCTCTCTGAGCATTGCAGAAGCTAGTTAGAAGTTGGATTTTGTGTGTGCCCTGGACGCCATGGTAAGGAAACTGAGAGCCTTGATCTGCTTTTACATTTGTCAATCAAACATGCAGTTTTTGCCAAAGCAACCTTTTATCGAGTTGGCTTTGAGAACATACATGCCTTTCTTGATGAGACACTGCTGCCATAAAATCAGTAAGAAAACGCTCAGACATGAAAGAGGGTGGTAAATTAAAGTGAAGGGAAACGGTCGTTTTACCATTCACGAAACGAGCGCTAGTTTCAAGAAAACCCTAACAAACTATACATCAAAAGAAAGCTTAATAAATGCAGTTTACGATGAAAATACAATTCAGGCGTTTTTCGTTTAGGGAGTATCAGTGGCCGGTAAGGCGTGAAACGACCGAGGTTCCTTCTATTTAATTTACCGGGTATCGGATCCCTCTGCCCAAGCAAAATGGCTTCACAGTCTTATTCACAAGGCATCAATCAACTAAAGTGTATCAGGCTTTTCCAGTATTCTTATTGGTTTTCTAAATATTCGCATCTGAAGTCAGAGTAGCGTAAAATATGCGAAACGCGTTGTGTAGATGTACGCAACGTGTAAAATATTTCAAAATTCAAAATTTCCTGAAACTCTTTCGTTCCTCATTATCCCTGGAATGTTTTGGCGAAATTTCACGGAAATCAGTCAAACCGACATACTCCATAAAGTTGCTCAAATTGGATGTATTCCTCTCAAAATAAAATGCGAGATTTTAGCTTCCGAAGGTTTGTAAACAACGAGCGCCACACGTACACCAAGAGATTATCTCGCCTCTTTAAACCGCGAACCAATGGGAAGACGGGACCTCATGGCGTCAATGACAATGCATCAAGAGTTTCCCGGGAAAATATCGCATAGCAGTCACGTAGTTTATCTCGCTCTGTTTAACGTTGAGTAACAGACAAAATTGGCGAAGAAAAAACCCGCGGCAAAAAGATTAAGTTGGAGAAACTGCTGAAAATGATAACTCCCAAACGA